TTTTATTGGGACAGTACAGCACTTGCTGCCTCTGGGCTTTAAAAAGTGTTGTACTGTCCCAAGAAAACCAATCGTTTTGGCTGATGCTCTTGGAAGACTGAAAAAGATTGTTAATTAACTTATTGAATTAAATACTTTAATTATTGTAGTTTTTAAAAAAAATGAATAACTTACGTTAATTGATTAAGCAATTTACGTATTCAATTTAAGAATGTAAATAAATCATTTTATGAACTTATTTAAACTAATTACATTCTTAAAGAATTGAATTAATTACATTAATCTAATTAATTAGCGTATTTAATTAAATACTTTAAATCATTTAAATAAAGTAAGTAAACAAATTAAGTACATCAATTTACTTGTTTAATTATCTAATTAATTTAATCAACTGCATAAGTAAATTTGTATTTACATAATTTGATTAATTCGCGTAATTTAAGTAGTCTAAATAATGTAAATTTAAAGTACAAGTCATTAACATTTGAATTATTTGGTTAGATAATTGAATAATTTACTTAACTCAATTAATGAAATTAATTGATTCCAAAGAAAAGTTTAATTAGATGATCAAATCCATTTATTTATTTTAATTAAGTTCATGTATTTCCTTAAGTAGTTAAATTGATTAAACTAGTTAGTTTATTTAAAATAGTTAAATTAGTTGAATTAAGCTAATTCATGTACATACACTTAATTATTCAACTAGATAATTAGATTAGTTCAATTCATTGAATTAGTTTAGATAATATTGAATAATTACATTATTTTAAGTAAATTCATTAAATAATTAAAGTGCTTACATTATTCAACTAAACATGCAAATTAATTTAAGTAATGTAATTAACTCAAAAAATTACATGAATTGAATTACTTAATTCGTTTTGATTAATTTTTAAGTAATTAAAGTAGTTAAGTTATTTATGTAATTTAATTAAGTTGATTTATTGAATTATGTAATTAAATAATCTATTTACTTAATGAATTTACTTACTTAATTACATACTTCAATTCATTTTGTTAATGCAATTATTTGAATTATTTAAACCTCCAAAATTAAAGAATTCCAGTATGCCACGATTTCTCTTTAATTCCTCATTGGATTTTAAAAAGAATTCATATAAAGAAGCGCCACCTCCAAAACCCAAATGTCAGGACTTCCAGATTTTGCTTTAATTCCTAATTGGATTTTAAAAGGAAATTCTATAAAGCAAAGCCACCTCCAGAACCAGACTTTCGATGTCAAGATTCCTCTTTAATTCCTGATTGGAACATAAAAGGAATGTATATTTAGCAAAGACACCTCCAAGACTAGAATTCCAGGATTCCAAGATTACTCTTTAAGTCCTAATTGGTTTTTAACCGAAATTCATATTAAAACAACGCCACCTCCAAAATTAGAGAATTCCAGTATACCACGATTTCTTTTTAATTCCTATTTTAAAAGGAATTTAGCTGGAGCAAAGCCAGTATTCCAAGTTTTCTTTTTACTTAACTGGAATTTAAATGGAATTCATTCAGGAAACTTTGGTCAATGGGGGGGTAGCATATATATATATATGTATATTTGCATGATATGAGGATTATAAATATTTGTATATCCCCTTATGCCCTACTAACCACTGGTGACCTACGCTTATCTTCGAGAAGCACTCTGATGCCCGCTTCTTGTAAAATCGGTTTTCCTGGAAATTCCTTTTGCATGCCTTGCAGTGGAATCTCAGTGAGGCAGGTCGTCGATGCCGAGCCCAACTAAGGATAGATCGGAGGTACAGAGCTGACTGTCCTGCTGAAATCCAGATTGTCTACCGGGCAACGGATCATGTTGGATGATATTCACCTTTGCCCCAACCAAGCAACGCCTTTCTCAGAACCGTACAGCCCCAAACCCTAGCCCTCCCTGCCTTTGTATCCCTCAATCACAGCCCTGGTTTCTGCAAGCCCGAAAGCAATACCATGCCCAAAACAATAGCTAACCTAAATCACGCAGTCCACTTTGGTTACCCCAGGCCCTAAACCCTAAACCCCAAACCTTGTAATAATCTTACGAGGAGGCTGTAGGACCTCACCAGAGCAGCTCCAGCCTTGGAATCTGAACTTCCGACTCAACCTGCTGAGGGTTAGTAGGGCATGAAGGGTAGGGCTTAGGGTTCAGGGTGGCAAAAATGGAAACGGTCATTTTTATATGGGATACTATAGGGGCTGCTCTAGAAAAACATTCCTCCATTCCCTCTTATACTGAAACCCTGCCACCCTCCTAACATTACATGTTCCCTAAATTTTAGTATACCGCAAAGGGAATATTCAATGTTAGGGAAGGGGTCTTAATATTAGAGAGCCAACGTCTCAGAGGCTGGAGACGGCGCAGCGTGCCCTACGCAGATTCTTCGATCAGCCGCATGAGGCTGCAACAGCTGGGGCGCAAATAGTTGAAGGATTTGGGGGGGTTCAACTTTTAGGGTTTAGGGTTAACCCTAAGCCCTAAGGGATCTGGGTGTCAAGTCAGGGTTTGGACTGTTCAGTTTCCAGGTTTAAGGCTTCAGCAGCTGGAGGGCGTAGGGCCTAGGAAGGACAATCTGAGAAATGGCAGTTTCCATAAAAGTGGGTGACCCCAAGAAAGGCCTCAATGCAATATGTACTATAGTCCTTAACATGTGGACTCCCCAAAACAGGGACCCCTAATTTCGTGAAACTCCGACATGAGGAAGTACAAGGAGATTCTCCTCAGCAGTTGCAATGACGCTCATATGGGGTTTCCCAAATTTAGGGGTACCGTTAAAGGGATGATAGGGGAATATATAGAGATTCTGTAGGGTTATAGGGTTTAGGGTTAGGGTTTCCCAAAATTAGGGATCGTTTGTAGGGGGCTCCCCAGGGTTCAGGGATTAGGGTTTAGGGTTTCCCAAAATCAAGGGTACATTTTTCGGCTCCCGATAATAAGAATTATAGTATTTTGGGGTCTATATTGAGGACCCCCAATTTAAGCAAATTACAAAATGTTGGCAACAGTTTGATTCCACGCCTCACCTGCATGGATGGTTGCCCCTGAGAACACCAGAAGAACCTAGAACGAATTCGGGTCAAAAAGGTGCCTTATAAGTTTCGCTTACCCTAGATCTTACACCCAAGTACTCTTGCAGCCATGAGCCCTAGATCCTAAATCCTGAACCCTAGAAACCGGATATCTCCCCAATCCTCGGCACAGGTCAAGGCCAAGATCGGCACGGCAGCATCTCGGATTGACCCTGTCAATTAATGCTACACGTATTCTCTGCTTGCAGCCCTTCATCCTTAAGATGCCCGGTATTAGTATCAGTATCACTATGTGCTCATTATGCCCTATATGAGTCCTTGAAGAATCAACCTGAGACTTTCTTGCCCGAAGCGTTTGCTCGAAGAGTTCTCCTAAACCCTTAGAGCACCTCCAGGAGGCCCAGAAACCGGCACGGTATGTTCTAAGCCCCAGGAGGTAGGTAATGTTGAGATGGAAGGGCTGTAGAAGTTTTTTTGCACCTTGACGCTTTTCTCAGATTCTTGTACGGTGAGTGTTTTTTTTTGCACCAGTTATGGCAGCATCACACTTTCAAGGGTATGTCATGGAGAAACATTCTGAGACCTTTGCCTGTTCATTGTGGTCACGTGGGGTTCTGAACAAAAGAAGAGTCCTAGGATCCCGATAGTTTATCACGAACTCCTACATACGAGAGCCCCTTCACTACGTAAACTGTGCATTGACAACGCGAAGCTTGAAATACTTGCTGATAGCTATATGATTGGTTCCAACCGAGATTCTGATTCTAACATATTCTAACCACCCTGACCACCTAAGAAGCCTTGTTTCTTGCACCCGCCCTAAGTCATGAGCTGCAAACGATGATCCTGGACTTGCCACCCTTTGAAAGCCTCTGGCAGGGCCTAGGACCGGAAACTCAATCAAAGCTCAAAACTCTCTAACTCTCTACCCCAGATTCAGATCCCAAATCCGCTTAAGTTGAAACCAACCTTCGCAATTCTCTTAGGCCAGCCGTGTTTTCCCGCAGCATTCGCGTGGCTACGTGGCCAACGAGACCTTGGACCCCTCACGCCAGGGCCTACTGGATTTGAAGGAGTCTCATGCCATGTCCGCGTTCAGGTTTCAGTTCTTGGGGCTAATGACGCTTTCTACTCTCTTCCTTGGTTGTTACGATTGTTGCTGCTGCGTGTTTTCTTTGTTCTCCTTTAGCGCTTGTGATGTTCTGTCCTAATAGAATTGGTACACATGTGTCTTATCTCGGCCTGCAGTTTCTCATCGGCTTCCGTCGCGTCGCGAAAATTGCACTTACACGTCCAAAGATTTAGCTGCTGGAACCTCAAACCTAGGCCTTGATCCACGAAAAAGACGAATGACACAAACAGTCAGCACGTCAACAAC